GGTTGGCGCAGGATAGAGCAGGGTTTAGGGCTGTTGTGCATAGGGTCGCTATGAGTCGGAAACGACTCGACGGCACATAACAACAACAACAATTGCATATATTCTTATTACCATGGAAATATATTCGCCTTCCATTCATTTTAGATCTATCTGCTTTTAAACCCTTCTCTGCTCCCAGCCACTTTCTTGAAACCACTCGAAAAATTTCTATTCAATGCCTGCAACAGTAGACTTGAGCATATCAGAGATCATGATGATAATGCAGCTTAGGGCAAAGTTCAGATCTGTTATTCATAACGTCATTATTCAAGTTGACACGACCTAACAACCACCACCACCAATAGGCATTTATTAAGATAATAATGATGGAGACACTCTGTTGGGGTGTGGGACTATGGAGATGAATGCAGTGGCTCCTGCAAAGCAAGCTGTCCACCTGTTTTTGGCAGAGACAGAAACTTGAGGAATTTGTGTCTGATGCTAACAAGACTACATAGGAGAAGCTGAGCACTTAGGATGAGAAATACAGAGTTTGGCTTTGTTCCGGCCATTTTGTTTTGACTGGGTACTATGTTTAGTATTTGTTTCTGGGACATTCCTTTGATTTTTTTCAATAAAGGCTGAATTGGGGCTTGGCCTTCAGTAACTGAGGCAGAACCTCCTGGCCTTTCTGCCTGTTCCTGTCTAGAACCACACCCTTGATGCCAGGCCAGAGTGGATGAGCCTTGGGGCCAGGGAGGAGCGAGCCAACATGTTCAAGGCTGTATTTGCCTACATGTCAGTCTTTGCTTGTGACAATAAAAATGATCAAGTGAGCCTGTTTTTTATATTCCTACTGGCAGGAACTGTGTGTCTTGTTGTTTTTGCCCAGAGGGGGGAAAAATTCTTAATAGCCAAATTTGAAGTCTGAGAAATTAAGCCCTGGGTCAAGAATTGGAACAACTTTAAGGGTTGCTATCATCTTCACTATCTTATGTAGGTTTTCCTGGGGAGACTCAATTCAACCATTTCCCTTAGTGTAATACAATGACTCTGCACAGATTATTTCAAACTCATTGCCATCAAATCAGAATAGACTCATAGCTGAGACGCCATTGGATTTCCAAGGCTGATCATCACAGACATGGAGATTGCTCATCTTTCTTACTTAGAGCTAAAAGTGGTTTCAAATCTCCACTGGCCTTTGGGCCAGCAGTGCAACATCCTACACGCTGGACTACCAGAGGTCCATTTTAAGTTATTTAGCCTCATCAGAACCTTTATGTCTTCGTTCTTTATTTTAACAGTGATATCTGGGAGTATTACAGGGAATGTCCAAGTAGAGTCTTTTATTAAAGTGTGGAAAGGGAGATGGAGGTTGAAAAGGCATTTGTAGGCTTTGTATCTCCCATGAACCTTAAGGCTTTATTGCTTTGATTTTTTTTTTTATGTTAGTAAAACTTGGGCTACAAACAAGTTTCATTTTGAAGTGTATCTTTAAGTCCAATTTGTAGGTCAATTGAAACAGGTACATATGTCTAGGGAGGATAGAAGAATTGATGCCGTTGAGCTGTGGTGCTGGAGAAGAGTATTGAAGGTACCATGGACTGCTAGGAAAACAAACAGATTCATCCTGGAGAGGGTTAAACCAGGTGGCTCCTTGGAGGCAAGGATTCTGAGGCTTAATGTAACATACTTTGGACATGTTGTAAGGACCGGTCCTTGGAGAGGGACATGCTTGGGAGGGTGGACGGATGGCGCAGGAAGGTGGATTGATTCAGTGACTGGGGTAATCGGGATGGGTGTGTCAGAGGCAGTGCGATTGGCACAGGACAGAGCAGGGTTTAGGGCTGTTGTTCATAGGGTTGCTATGAGTCGCAAGCAACTCGACGGCACATAACAACAACAATAACATGTCTTATTTAGAATCTCATAGCCTAGTCCATAGGGAGTTGCATGGTCAAATCCAAGGCAGCATCTTTCTAGTGGTTCGAATCCACCAGCAGCTCTATGTAAGAAAGATGGAGACTCTCTTCTTTTGTGATTTACAGAATTTGAAAGCCTGCTAGAGGGTCAGCTGTGAGTTGGTTTGGACTCGACAGTGATGGAAGTTTAGTGCAAAAAAAGGCTAAGGATCTTTTCAATGATTTAGAAGGATGCCTGTGCAGCAAATGAAGGTGATTGTGAGGAAGAATTTATTGATATAGAGTATATTCAATGACAGATTTATATTAAAGGAAAAATTGTAGTTGTCCATCAGTCATTCTTAATCCAGGAATTTAATCTGTTTGGCCAGCTGTGTGACTGGGCCATGTGAAAACTGGCTGCTGTCACTTAGGTCCAAGAGTTTTTAAAGGGGAAGCATACCATAACAAGGAGGAAGGGAATCTTTGTAAAGAACCAATTTCAGTTCAGAAGGCAACCTGGAAAGTAGATGGAATGAGTGTAACACAGATTTTATCTCCAGAATGAGTTTTCTTCCCCTTCATTCAATGCAAAAGATGTTCTGATTTCTTTCCCAAATGCCACTTTCATTTGCCAATGTGTCCTTTTGACTTTTAAGGAGATAAGAGTTTTACTATTTCTTTTTTTGTTTGTTTGTTTTTTTGGTTTTTTTTTTTTTTGTTATTAGATGCTGTTAAGTATAACTCATAGCAACACTATGAATAACAGATCTGAAGCCTGTTCTATCCTGGCTCTTCCTCACTATTTCTGACACACTTGAGCCCGTTGCTGCCATTACTGTATCAATCCACTTGGTTGAGGGTCTTCCTCTCCTTCTATTGTCATTAAGAGGAAATACAAATCTCACCTCTGGCTTAAGTACTGATGGGATCTCCCTATAACCACCCTTCCCCTCATCCTCTCTTGTTCCCTCCCGGCCTCCCTCTCTCCTTTGATTCCACTTCTGTCCCTCACTTCTGTCTTCTTTATCTTTATCCTCATCCCAACTCTTTTATACATTTAACCCCAGAACATTTGCAATGGAAATGTATTTTTATCAAATAGTCATATTTTGTAACTGAGTACTTGAAAGATTATTTCTGGTTTCGTTTTCTGTCTCAGGAACCTTCACTCTCAATGCATATTTGTTTACTGAAATAATGGAACGAATTGACTCATTGATTTGAAATGGCATGCCCTGGGTTTGGAATGGGCTTGGAATTTGAAAAGAACTAGAAACATCTCCTGCCTAGTTTAGGGCAAGTTACATAGTGCCTCTGAGAGTCCCAGAATGCTGAATCTAATCAAGATAAGGAACATAGAGCAGCTGAAAGGAATCACACGCATTCTCAGGCACATGTGGCAAACGAGGCAGGCATGTCTCTGGGGTGGAATATAGTAGGACCTCAGATATGATGACTACATATCTAGAAAGACCAAATTAATTTGGTTGAAAAACTGAAAGTATATCATCAGGAAGTTCATTTTCAGTTAAAAAAATGGAGTTAGAAACTGAAGGGACAGCATAAACCCTATTTTTTATATAAACCCCCATTAATACCAGAAACAGAAGCGGGCCATAAAAATTCTTAGCTTAAGGGAAACACAAATGCTCCTGGTAGAGTCTTATCTGTCCTTGCAAAGTAAAGAATTAACTAGTGTCTACATGACATAAAAAGTAAAGATGGGCAAAGTAGCCAGCCCATCAAAAGCCGACCCACATGACTGATCCCCCGGCCCACCAACCATGCAACCCGCCCCGACAGTAACACCCAGGAAAGCCTTAAAAACGATTGTGCAGGGGCACTCGGGGCTTTTTCCCTAGACACCTTCCTACTGAGGGAGAAAGTCTTCACATGGGGAATGTAATAAATGCTCTTAAATTTCCATATGTGTGATGATTGGATATCCTTTGAGGGGCATTTCGTGGGCAGAACAAAACAATCCCTTTCCAAAGATCATTTATTAAAAACTTCTTGTTGTTCTGTACTGTTGAGTTGGAACTGAATTATAGTTGACCCTCCACCAAGTTTCAGAGGCAGTAAACCACACAGGAAGAGATTACCCATCTTTCTTCCAAGGAGCTACTGGTGGATTTGAACCACCTGTATGTTTAGCTTGGCAGTGCAACTCCTTACCACTTAGCCACCAGAGCTCCTTATTACAAACTAGAAGTAAAGATAAGTGATTTTTTTTTAAAGGATAAACCTTCCAAGCAAACTAACCCCATTGCTCTTGTGGCCTTTATTCTTATGTGAACAATGCAGAAAGCTGTTGCACAATACTTGATAGATTTCTAACTTTTTTGCTGAGCACGATTGTGTCTATGGATCACTATTGTGAAGAGGGGAAAGGCTTTGGGGCAGTGGATGGTAAAATGGTACTGTGGGCTTGTAAAGAGAGATCTAGTTGAGTCACAGCAAGACTTGTTTCTTATCTTACAGGGATTGTTGTCTGCGAGGCACCGAACAACAAATTAGATAAATTCACCGGCATCCTCTCTTGGAAAGACAGCAAGTACTCTCTCAACAACGAGAAGATAATTCTGAGAGGCTGCGTCCTGAGAAACACCAGTTGGTGCTTTGGAATGGTTATTTTTGCAGGTATAGCTCATTTGTGCAGGGTTGGTTGTCTGTGTGAACCCTTCCTGGGGTAGTCGTCAACATAGCCTCCATGCTGGGATGAACACAGAGCTTTTATTCTGGAGCAAGTCCAGCTCTGGAGTTGACTAAAGAATGTAGGGAACCAGAGAAAGACATCATTTCTCTGAAAAGACTCTGGGTGGCCCCCTGTATGAGGAACCACTGACGTCATGAGTTTATGCTTACAGATGTTTGGACCTCATTTAAGTGGTGGGTTGTTAGATAGTGACAGCTTCTACATTAATCTGTTAACTCCATCCACATCATTCTTGTCATTTTATGTATTAGTTAATCTTCCTTTAGAGAGTATGAAAGGAACCCCCTATCTTTGCTCTTAATTACGTAGTTTGCAAAAGGACAAGCAGCCCTTTTGGATAAGTCTTCAGGGAGATCTTGCAATCATTTCTGTTTATACTCGGCAGCTTCTTCTACTGTTTGTGAACAAGAGAGCAGTCTTGGAGAGACTGTGTATGGTGGAGTTGGGGAGAAGGGCAGGGAGGTACCTTGAACTCTGTGTGCCTGCCCTGTCCTGCTTCTTATCTCTAATTTCCATGGGCCCAAGGTGGCATACTTCTGCTAAGGAAGCTTACAGTAGCACCATTTTGCACAGCTGCTCAGATTATGCTCAGGGCTTCTGCTGCCAGTCCTTGATTTTTAAAATCTTGTTTATTGTGGCACCAAATTAAGATGTGTTTTGGGCCTGCTGACTATATGTGCAATCAAAATTGGAATGTTTTTCTTAACAGATTTTCTTCAGCAACAACAAAATTTTCATTAAAGGCTCAAAAGTGTTCCAAACCTAGAAAAGGCCTCCCAATTTCTCCTAAATACTCTCAGCTGTGGGTGTTAGTGAGGCTTTTGCTCCTTAGGGCACTGCCATTGTGAAGGCTTTGGAAATCCCTAGAAATGAGGCAGAATATGTATCTGGAGGTGGATGGAGCTTAGTGACTCTCTCATCAGATGCTTTTATTCTTTAGTCTGAGAAATAATCCAAGAACGATGCATTTTCTTCTTTCCATTGTTTTTTTGGGGAAAAAAGACAGACTTACATACAAACCTCTCTTTACTCCCCCACTTAATGTTAGGAGATTTCTTGAAGATACTCTGATGGCCATTTTCCTTCTGGTTTGCTCCATTATCACAGGGATGTAAGTTCCTCATCCAAGGAAAGGGCTGTAGTACTAAAATTTGCTTGCATTTATATGATCTTGTTTGCCTAGCATAGCTTGCTGTGCGAGGCCACCTATGGTGGTCATAAATGTAAAGCATATATACAGTATTGCCTGAAACCTAGTAGATGCTTGAGAAGTTAATTTTCTAAACAAATATTTACTGATACGTGGGTCAGGCACTAGGATACTTATTGGTGATCAAGAATGTGATGTGATTTATGCTGAGTGAACTAAGTCTCATAAGGACATGTAATGCATAAGACCATTGTTGTAAAAAAATAGAAGGATACCTAGCAAAATATGTATAGGGGTCTATGAGGGAAAGCGTGAAAGAAGGGTTAGGATAAGTAGGGGGGATATCACAGGTTTGCACAATTTGGTGGGTAGAAGGAGCAGGTAAAGGAAATGGGAAAAATCCAATAGGGACTTGAAAAGATTGGGTAATGGTGGGCACAGTCCAATGGGAATTAATTTTATAAAATACAATGTGTGGGAATGATTGTATGAAAATTACAAAAAAAGAATGTGATGTGAGCAAAAGTAGTCTGGTAAGGAACATTCAAGACATTAGTCCCGAATAGATTCTATAATGAATGTATAATTGTAAACCCAGATAAATGCACTGCAGTGTATGAACTCCTGTAGCATAAAGTGGAGGAAACGGATGTAGACTTGGGTTTTAGAGAAGGTCTTTCTCATGAAAAGAGCCCTGGTTTGGTAAGCATTTGGCTGCTTACTAAAAGGCCAGAGGTTCAAACTCACCAGGTAGTCCACTAGAGAAAGATGAGGCAATTTGATTCCATAAAGATTCATAGCCTTGGAGATCCTGTGGAACATTCTACTCTGTTCTACAGGGTCACAATGAGTCACAACTGACTCGAGGACAATTGATTTGGTTTTTTATTCAAATCTTTAGAAAGCTTGAGTCAAAAGTTGAAGAATGAGGAAGTGTGAACTGAGTTAGAAGTATAGGGAAACCAGCCATAAGGTATCTTATGTGAAAAGGCCTTGTGGCAGGAGTGAAGATAGTGAAGACATAAAACTTAAGAAGGTCAGCATGAGACATGGAAAACGTGGAAGGGAGAGATGGCCATGTGACTGAAGGTGTGGGCAAAGACTGGACCATGCAATGCCTTCTGATATTTATCCTGAATTTTAGTCTTAAAGATATTGGGAAGCCATTGCAACTTTATAAAGTTTATAAACAAGTGGAATGTATATTTTATTAAATTTGAGATGTTCAGTCTTTGTACCATGTTTGCAATGTTTGTGAATAGACAGAACAGGCCCTCAAAAGAGCACATGATTGAGCTGAGTGAGAAGGAAAACTATTGATCAAGGTAGAGGGCAGAGAGGATGCAGGGAAACCAAGTTAGGAGACTTATATTGTATGTATTCTCATTGAGAAGTTATGGTACTTTGGATTGTGATGAACTTCAAGGAGATGGCTAGAGAAAATTCTGAAAGTAATTAGAAAGGTGAATTGATAACATTTTTAAGGTAATGTAAGAGAGATGAAAATCTGGCTTCTAGCTTTTTCAGAGCCCTTAGAATGAGACAGACAGTGGTGCTGAGATAAAGAACCCTGGAGGACAATCATGAGATGAACTTGGTGGTCTTACAGAGATGCAGAGGGGGATATTACTAAGGCAAGTAAACATATGACTTCAAGTGCACGAATTTTGAGCTTAGATATGCAATCTGAACTAGAGATGTAAATTTGGCCTATCGATGATGATTGAAGCTGTGGTCTTGGATGAGATTGCCTCAGGAAGGTGGATTGAGTAGAAGAAAGGTGTCCAAGGTCTACTTCTTAAGGAATTCTAGTATTTATTAGTGCCAGGAGAGGAACTTGAGCATCACGGAAGATAGAGAAAGATCAACTGATGAGGTAAGAAGAAAAAGAAAAAAAACATTGTAATATAGATGATAAGTAAGAGTGTGTTTTGAAAAGTTGGAATAATCTACAGTGTCAAAGGCTGTTGAACAGTTGGGAAAGCATTTAGTATATTGATGGTAACACAACATCTATTTTGGATAAGTGATTTATTTAGAATCTTCTTTGAGTAATGATTGACATATGAACATAGAAAAGTCCTTAAAGAACTTTGACTTTGAGGGGAAGAGGAGATAATGATGTTGGTGCCGAATAGGACAAGGCTCTAATCTGTCCTTCACAGGGTCACTATGAGTCATGGTTGACTCGAGGCATCAAACAACATTTAATATCTGTGGGTATATTTAAATAAGTCCCTTAAAATCCTTAAATTACATTATTAGTATGTTTCTGTGCTCAATAGATTTTTTTTCAATGACAAAGCTGCTGTTGAGTCCGAACTGACTCATAGCTGATGCTTCAATGTGTTTTCAGAGGTTGTAAACTGCATGAGAGGAGATTGCCCACCTTTCTCCTATGGAGCAATTAGTGGATTAGAACTGCCTGCCTTTGAGTTGGCAACTCAACTGCCTATCCAATCGGCCACCATAAAAAACTAGTCTGTCAATGTTGCAACTTCTAAGCACTTCATAAGCTTTATTTGCACTTTGTGATCTTTACTGTAAAAGAAATATTTCCCGACTTTTATGTCCATATGATTTTAATAAATAATTCTGAGAAAATGTGGGTGTTCTCCTTTGCACAGAAAATGGCTGGGAATAGGGCACTGGGGTACAATTTCCAACTCAAGCGAATTTTTATGAGACCCCAAGCTTTACTTCAGTTTGTCTTTTAAGTACACATAAATCTTTTAAGAATGTTCCCACTCTGTTTTGACTTTCAGATGGGCATTTAATTCTTGTTTCTTTCACTTTCCCTTTAATCCTGTTTTAAATGGCTATCTTGATTAATAATCATGGGAAGACAGTGTGGAGCTGGGACACTGGAGAACTCTGTTACAGTAAAGATCTAATTGCTCCTGTGAAGCATTGCCTCAGTCCATAGGAATTTTCTTCGCACGTTCTAATATTTGTCTTTGTTAATTTCCCAATACATAACTTCTAAAGCGGTTAATAATATTCTTAAAAGTCTTTGAACAAAGAATTATTAACTGTCTCATGAGATAACCTATTGTGTTTCCACGAAATAATGAACACAAGGTTTAAGACACTTCTTGGCTCTACAAAGAGGGTATATATGATTTGCTGCTGTTGCTCTCAAGTTTATTCTCTTATAGACTCCATGTAACAGAAAAGAACTGCCTCATAGCGTTTTCTATGTTGTCACTTTTCCAGTTGTAGGTTTTTAGATCTTTTCCCATGCAGCTTCTGGGTGCTTTCAAGGTGGACCTTTCGGTTAGCATCTGAGCGCCTTGCTATTGCATCACCAGGGCCCCTTGCATATGATAGGAACAGCAAGGGCCTTTATTAAGCAGCGATCTTATTAAACTGTCTTGTACCGATATTCAGTATCTAATACCGTTTCAATTTCTTGCTAATAAATATCCTGTATTATTCTGAAACCTGTTTTGAGAAATGGAGTCCAAGTTCGATTTGTTCTTTTTCCATCGTTGACATGAATGTTCTAAATGGTAGGATGGGTTTTTTTCCACTCTTGTGAATTAGGCTTTATTTTTACTCTTCTTAATTGCTTCAAATGAGAAGATGACATTCTTAATACTAATGCAAAGATTTTCAAAGAATTACAACGTTTCTTAAACCTTTTAGTTACAAATTTTGCCTGAATAAATCCTTGGAGGATTCCAGAGTTAAGTCACTAGAGGAGAGTCATATCCAACTTAATAATGGCCCTTGCTCTTATTAAAAGTGAAATTATTTTGAAGAATGTATTCTTTTCTATTTTTGAAAATTAGATATGATTGAGAATAATGATAATGATGTATCATCTAATTATTACAATTTTTTTATTCGCTTTTTGTCTCTCTCTCTCTCTTGTTTCTTTTTTGGACAGGACCTGACACTAAACTAATGCAGAATAGTGGCAAGAGTAAATTTAAAAGAACAAGCATTGATAGACTGATGAACACCCTAGTACTCTGGGTAAGTCACTCTAATCATCCCTAGTAGTGGTTTTATCTATCTATCTATCTATCTATCGATCTATCTATCTATCTATCTATCTATCATCTATCTATCTATCTTACATTTTGCTAGGAATTCTCTTGGAAATTTTGTTCTCCTTAAGTTTGTATTTGCGGTGTTTGGCATTTAAGCTTCAGGCATATTGCTTCTACTTTTCTATATTATGATGATTCCTCAAGCTTGGTAAAGTTTCTCATGTGAGATGGATTGGTGTTATGGTCCCACAAATTCTTCATATTGCTAGAATTGGACTTTGAAACACAAAACATAGTTTTTAAGTGGTTGGTTGTTGCATTGTCTTCTATCTGCTCAGTTTTTAAGTGGATTCAGAAGCAGGAGTGGCATCCACTTCCAAAACAACATGCCTCTGGAAACTCTATGATGAACTTGTATAAATGGCAGTAGTTGTAGACAGGTTTCAGGTCTTTTGTTCATAGGGTCACTATGAGTAGTGCTCAACTTGAAGGCAATGAACAACAACCTATGTGGATGATGAACAAGGCTGGCTTTATGGCTGCATAGTCCATGCTTAGCTTAAGGGTCTGTGGCTTACTCTTACTCTCTTACTATCTAGAAACTCCTAATTTTTTACCAATATGGGGCCATATGTTTTCACGTTACACTAGGTTCTGAAATTGATGTGTCTTGTCTAGCTTTAGGTCATTAAGGTTCAGGCCACAGCCCTCTTCTTTATGGAAGCTTGTAAACCTTCTTAGCCCACAATTATCTCATGCCTACGACTTCTTCTCCTATCCATTGACCAAAAATAGTCCCCTGCATTCCAATCTTTTGTTAATCTTGTGCAACATCATACTACTAACTTGATTATTCTCTGACTTTTTGTTAATATTTATTTGGCTCCTGAAGTAGGTGTCAAGTTTGAGGACAATGACTTTGAAATATGACTGTAATGGAAACATTTCCTCACTTACCACATCACAGACTCACACTTAAAAAGAAATGAACTAATTCTACCCCCTCCCCCCTGCCACCTCTTTGCTTGACTGAGGTGTAATAGTTGGACTCTGATTAATGAAGGAAGGAAAAAGAACATTTTTTTTGACACAAAATGTTGACCAGCCTGTGTTTTATTCTCAGTAAAGATCTTAGACCTAGGAGCATCTGTATTCTCCCAGCCATGTTCTTCCTTTGAGGCAGGGCCTGTGGGACTAGAGGGATATGACCATATAGACCCTGTGTCTCCCTTCTATAAGCCCCAATTCCAATGGCCCTAACACTATTTCTGTGACTGCATGGAGATTATATAACTGTCTACCTCAGAGGAAAATTCCTGCTTCTCACATTACAAGAGAAAATGATCATTTGAGAATTCAGAAACAGAGTATCAAGTAAAGGGAGTATGGGAGTCGGTGGTTAACAGCTCAGCTGTTGAGTGATTTGAACACATCAGATGCTCCTCAGGAGAAAGACATGGCCATGGCCATCTGCTTCCACAAAGGTTTATAATCTTGGAAACTCTGTCCTATAAGGTCAGAGTTGTTAATTTGAGGGTAATGGATTGATGTCAAATCTCACCAGTTTTAATGTTCTTAAAGCTATTCAGTTCAATCGACTTACAGGGTCAACCAATTAAGAGAAAAGAAGATACGGTGTCACAGGTACATTCTAGATTTCTGTACACTAAGATGTCTATGATTCACTACTCAAGTTTTCTCCAATATGTAGTTTTCTGCTATAGTTAAAAATATGGTTTCCCCACAATCTTGTCTTCTTATGTGCTTATATTGAATGTGAGAGATTAACTAGAAATCAGTGCTAGAATTTCTGAATTCTTGCTTGCTTGAAGAAAAAATTAATTAGGAGAATGCATTGCTGTCTTCTGTCCTTACACTGGTCCTTACGTACTGTCCTTGCAGTATGACACTTAGCAGAACAAAAGTCTCATGGCAACAGCCTGAACTCAGGCCTGACCATGTACGCTCTTCCTTTTTCGCAATTTACTGTATATTATAGAAAAGCTGAATTGTGAGTTCCTGAAGTCTTAGAAAATCTGTACCTGTGTCATTGTATCCTCTTTTCTCTTAGCTGGTTAACAGTATAAATCAATTCAGCTGAATAACTTTAAGAACATGAACGCTGGTGACACTTGGCCTCAATTCCTTACCATGTTCTCTGAGTTATTATGGCCTCCTTTCCTCAGCTTAGGGTTTTGAATTCACAAGGGACTGACCCTGCAGTGTCTCCTAACTCTAAGATGACTTCGACTTTGCTGACAATTTTTAGTTGCTTCCCACTTTTTCACTTTTACTTACTTAGTTTCATTTCAAAAGGAAAGCGTATGTCCTATGATGTATTTTCACCAATGCTTCTCCTTGTTGGCCTCAAGTACAGGTAGTGTACCCACATCTGTAACCAAGAGACTCAGTCTGATAGCTCTCGAATCGTTGATACTTGTTTCTTTTTGTTTTAATGACTTGAGTGATCACATTATTAATTATTCCCACAAGACACCTTTGAAAGCACTATGCTCGCTTTCAACTTGAGCTCCTAAATGTGAATGAATAATGTTTTATTGCATTTTACCAAATGCTTATATATATATCTTTATAACCAGTTGAGGACCTAAAATAATTAGCTGTGTGACCATAGATGAATTTTGCAGTTTCTTTGTGTTTCTGTTAGCTGCTGTTGGTTTGGATGTCAGCTCCTTATGATCCCTTGTGTTATGGAGGAGAACTTCTCCATGGGGTTTTCTTGCCTGACATCTTTTTTGAAAACAGTTGGCCAGGCCTTCCTTTTGCAGAGCCATTGTTGTTGTATATGTGCTGTCCAATCCACTGTGATGCAGTGATCCTATGAACAACAGCTCTGAACCCTACCCTATCTGGTGCCAATCTCTCTGTCCCTGACACATGTGAGCCTATTGCTAGAGATGCTCTGAGTTAGATACTTGTTCAACATCTTCCTCTCTTACATGGACCCTCTACCTTTTCACGCATGGTACTCTTCTCCAAGAACTGACCCCTCTTTATAATATTCCTGAAGTATGTGAGATGGAATTTCACCATCCTTGCCTCCAAGAAGCATCCTGGCCACATTTTCTCCAGGACAATCTTGTTTGTTTTCTTGACAAGTCCATGGGATATCCAGTACTCTTTCTTAACACTACAACTCAAAGACAGTAGTTTAAACTACAAACTTTTTGATAAAAAAGATTAAACCGATCACAAATTACTTGCTTCTTAATGTCTCTGACTCCATTTTATGTTGCCTTGATTTAACTATAAGTTGTGGATGGATAATTACTGCTTTTCTCTGAGAATCCCTGGGTGAATGAAATAAGTTGTATATGAAACATTCAGCTGAGTAAGCTCCTGATAGAGACATACTAAGTTTTACTCATCTGACTGACAGTAAGTAAAAAGAGCTTTGCATAAATTTGCTTTCCTAATGATCATTTCTTAGAGTTAGAAATGTAATTAGATCACAGTGATATGATTTGTTTTGGGTTCACGTTAACCTTAACCAGACTTCTCATTTTGTTTCAGATTTTTGGGTTTCTGGTGTGCCTGGGAATTATTCTTGCAATAGGAAATTCAATCTGGGAGCATCAAGTTGGGGAGAATTTCAGAACTTTCCTCTTTTGGAATGAAGGAAAGAAGAATGCTTTGTTCTCAGGCTTTCTAACCTTCTGGTCATATATTATTATTCTCAACACAGTCGTGCCCATTTCATTATATGTCAGGTAAGATAAGAGTTTATACTTCAGTGAGGCCAGTTTGCTGAAATCCCTTGTTTTACGGCATCTCTTTTTTTGGTGTTAAGATCACAGCAGTGAGATAGAAGCCTTGGTGTAGCTGCTTGGGATCAGCTACATCTGTTACAAATGAGGCAGCTAAGCTGTTTAATCTGTTTAACTTTGAAAAACACGAAATAAACCCACTGCTTTCAGGTTGGTTCCAACTCATAACTACCCTATAGAACAGTGTAGAACTATCTCATGGCATTCCCAGGGCTGTAAATCTTTACAGAAACAGCTTTGTCACATCTTTTCCCACTGACTGATAGGTGGGGTTTTGTTAGCAACTGAGTACTTTAACCACTGGGCCACCGAGATTCCTGTTTAACTTTACTCTTTTCAAGTTACAGTAAACACATGTAGTTTTCTTCTTGAATCAATTATGTTTTTTTTTATTTCACTTTCCTTCATTGACTTTATGTTTCATACAATTATTCTCATACATTTGTTTTATAAAATTAGTTCCATTGAATTATGCTCACCATAACCCCATCCTTTCAGGTCCCTGCTGGATCTTTCCCGTTTCTTTTACCTGCTCCCTCCACCCCCCAAGTAATAAGACATTGTGATTCCCCCCTACACATCCTCACCCCTCTGCTCCCACCTCTTCCTCCCTTGGACTCCCATGCACATTTTCCTAGTTATCCATCTATTTTTACAGTAATGGTCTTACGCAGTATTTGTCCAAGTGAGATGGAGTTAGTTTCCTCAGCATAATGTTCTCCAGTCTCTCCCAAGTTATGTAGTAATCTTTAAAATCATTGCTCCCGAGTGTTGTGCAGTGTTCCATTGTGTGAATATGCCACAATTTCTCAATCCATTAGGTTGTGGGTGGACATTTGGGCTGTTTCATGTCCTGTGATGGTGAATAATGCGGCTATAAATGTTGATGTACAAATTTCTGCTTGTGTCTCAGTTCTGATTTCCTTGGAGAATACTCAGCAGAGAAATAGCTGGTTTAGTGTATTAGGTATTGGGCTGTTAACCTAAAAGTCAGCAATTCGACCCCACCAGCCACTTTGTGCGAGAAAAGATAGACCATCAGCCTCGTACACGCTAATGGAAGGTCGTTGTGAGTCAAACCCAATGGCAATGGTTTGGTTAAATTCAGTTTGCTAAGAAGGTTCTCCTCTAATGTGGTGTTGTTGTTGTTGTT